ATTTCTCAAATAAAACATATACAACTCAAAAGAACATTTAAACTTCCATGATGTAATATATATATTTTTAAACTAAGTTTAATTACAGTACATATTTTTCTTTATTTTTTTGTCTTTTAAAAGAGTTTTGGTCAGTGCCGGGATTGCGCCCATGTTATTACAACATGTTAATGCTGAAGCCGACAACTTGCCTGTATTGGCGGAGATTGCATGGGTTCTCATGTATGCAATGGCAAGGTTGGTAATTATACTTTTATTACACATGTTAATGTTATTCTAGAATGGAGTGCGTTTCACTCTCATTATTTACATTATCCTTTTATAGACTACACATTAGATTGGATGTTATCATTAAGTCTGGAATCCTATCAGTGTACTAGAGAAAAATTAGCTTTTCTTGCTAATGTTCTCTAAAGATATCTTGTAATAAAGAGGTACTCTAGAATTTTTGGGAGAATGCTTAAGAAGATAATAAGGTTGGTGGGAGAGGGGAGGGGAGATTGAGATGATTTATACAATATTCTTTGTAAATAATTTTTATAGTAATTTCAGAGGTTGAATAGGAACTTAAGTTTTTATGCTTGTTATCTACCTAGACATGTGGAATTTGGTTAAACTTATATGAAATTTCCATTTTGTGTATTTTTCTCATAATAATAAAATGATTGCAAAAAGAATAGATCCTAAATTAAATCTTCACACCTAACAGAATCTCTGACATGTTTGTGTCTACACTCTTTTGCAGCAGTAGATACTGCCTGAATTAGCAACATATTTGTACCTTATATTGTTATTAATATTATTATTTATATCATTTATATAGCACCTTTTCTTTGCAAGTGAGATATCAGGATTTTTATAATATTTGCAAAAAGAAGTTAATTATTTTATTTACCTTATTAGCTAATTAATTATCATATTTACTTATTTTTTTACAATACTACATCAATTGGGTACATTTACCCATTGAAAACAAAACTTGCTCTGTTTCAATCTCAAACCTCGGAAGAACAATTTATCGCAGAAATGTTTTTATTTATCTACCACTAATGGATGCGGATTATGATTAAATAGTTCCCGATACTCTGCATAAGGTCGCATCGTTGTCGTAGACAGGGATGTGCTTTGTGTCTAATGTAAAAAAATACTATTTACCAGACAATGAACTATGCATATGAGATTATACATGGCAGTTAATGTTGGTTTCTGTTAATGTTTTTATGTTATTCTCTCTAGTAAAGGTTATCAGCCTCACTACTAAATCTCGCAAAAGAATGAACGTGATCTGTTATTAGCAATGATCAATGAGCAGGGATTTTCGTTGTAAGACGGAGCTTAGAGTAACGACCAGTGTGTCATTGCTGCTTTATCCAATTGCAAACACTTGCTTTTCATAAATTGATCCTAGAATTTACAAGGAGTACTCTTAGGTGACTATTAGTCTATCGGATTTGTCCAATAACATAAAAATACATTGTATCAGCAAAAGGCCCAGTAACACAATGTTCAAAATGGTCTTGTCTGGTTGCATTGTTTATTAAGACAGTATATTAATTTGCTCAATATTTTAGAAAGAGTGATATATTTAAGACAATCAACAAAAAAAACATATGCATTTAACGAAACGGACAGGTCAAGCCCCCCCCCCACCCATCGGACAGAGCTTGTCGAGCAGTTGAACTAACAAATATATAAAAATAGGCCCACGCCAAGCCAACACATGTCTGTCACAATCAGAGAGTGTCATTTCTGGCCATCTAGAGGTTCCTATTCTCAAAAAATCTCATTTGGGAGGGGGAACACCCTCTCAAACCTTTCCCCCAGCTCGGGCCTACGAGCCCAAGTCCCCTCTGTCGGACAGCTCAGCTCCCCCCAGAAAATATATCCTAGAGACACCACTGATGTGTGTGCCTAAAAGTTTTTATTTAGAATAAAATTATATGATATATCATTTTTTGATTTTGATATCATTTTGTTCTTTTTTTTTTTCAGTGGTGAATTTGAAGAAGCATTCATCTCTCATGATGCTATCCCAAAAATTGTCGATGTTGCTAGCCAGATTGCCTCAACAGAGGTACAGAATGTGCAGGTAAGAGTTTTAATATGGTAATGTGAAAAATATACAGAAAAAAAGATTTAATAATTACTAAAACAACTTTGGGGAGAAAAGTAATATTTTATTAGTAGAAAAATCAAGATAAAATAATATTCCTTTATTTGAATTTGCAGAAGAGGGTTTGGTTTATGTGAGATTTTAGCTTGCTTGTTGGGATGAGAGACCGAGTCAAATTACTGAAGCATTTTGCAACTTGCAGGAGACTTGGACCCATGCAATTCTTCAACCAACAATCATAAATCATAATAATTACATTATTATTATTATTATTATTATTAATATTATTATTATTAATATTATTATTATTATTATTATTATTATTATAGTTTTATTCTTCCCTTGTTTATTCTTAATCCAGTGTTTTGTTGGGTTTTTTTTTGGTTTTTTTTTGCTTGTTTTACAAAGTCTACTTTAGTTGTCCAATGGAGAGGGTAGTTTTTCCTTTCAATTAGTAATTTATTAACTACAGTAAGATTTACCAATGTAAAGTCTGAGTTAACAACAAATATCCTAATTATGAATGAAAAAGGCTGCATTTATTGCTTATCTCATATTCTAGTGTAAATTCACTTTTGTTTTATGTCTTACATACTTGTTGTGATTAATTCTATAGGCACTGACTCCGCTTATTCGTTGTCTTGGTAACTTGTGTAGCGGACCAATTCATAACACAAAGATGGTGACACAAAATGACTGCCTCCTGACAGCATTTCCATTTCTACTAAACTCTCCACACAGGCACATCAGGAAGGAAAGTTTATGGTTGCTTAGCAACATACTAGGTATGGTTACATTTATATAATGATGGTGGATTGGTGATTGTTATTTTTATTAATAATCTAAGGGAGTATCTTTCTCCGTCAGTTTAAAAAAATTATTATTTTTTTTTTTATATAGTTCATGTTGACCTTTGCAAATCTGTTGCTAAAATACCAGACATCATAACCTACATTGTACAAAGATGTGCAGAAACATTTGACATTCAGAAAGAGGTAAATCTGTTTTTGTTAATATTAATAAGTTTACAAAAAAAAGCAGATTAAAGAAACTAACTAGGAATGTGTTGGCCCTTGGACTCCTTAGTAGTGTACTTCCACCCTAGGTACACCAGGCAGTACAACGGAAGACAGTCAATCCCCTGCTCTCTTCCAACAAGTTTACTTACTCAACATGCATATTAATTATTTTATAGTACGTTTGACAGGGAAAGTAGCTTAAAGTAAATTTCTATATTTTTTTTACATTCCAGGCTCTTGTCTGTCTCTGCAATCTAGCCTATAGTGGCTCCGACAGCTGCCATCAGCTCCTGCAGCATGGTGCCATCCCTGCAGTGTTGGCCTTCCTCAAGTCACCGGACCCTGAACTGCTCACCAGAGCCCTCAACTTTATTAGCATGATGCTAATGCATTGTGAAATGGTAATGGTCATTACATTCTAATTCAGTCTTATCTCTGAACAATACATGCTTAAGCACAAAATTTACAGGCTGTGATTTTCTATTTTCTTTGATCTAAACCATAAAAATATATTTTTATTATTAACAATTTGTATTAATATTATTATTACCAATATTTTTCTTATTGTTCAATGTTAAGTTATATATTTTGGATTTTTTTATTTAATATGGACAAAAATGGAAAACACTGATATTTCTTTAAAGCAAAAAAATAATATTGATATTAATATTAGTTTTAGTACCATTTATATATTATTAATGCTAATATGAGTATGATTATTTGATATTAATATTAGTTTTATTACCATTTATATATTATTAATGCTAATATGAGTATGATTATTATCAGAAATATTATAGAATTCTTATTAACATCCTTATCCCACCATAGTTAGTAATTAATTCTATAATCTTATTTTCCTTTACAGAGCAGGAAAGCTTTTGAAGAGCAAGGTGGTGTTGATAATCTGGAACCACTTGCCAATCACACTATCCACATCATTCAGGAATTAGCACATCAGATGCTGGATAGGTATTTCAGTGATGCTAATGAGACAGAGGTGAACCTTTCTTTAAATATTGTGTTTATTGTAATTATGCTTATTAGCACAGTTTTGTAACGCTTCAGATAACGTATTCAAACTTACCGGTCTGGGAAACTGTAACGACATAAATCATCAAAGTCTCCAGTTCACAAAGTGAATATAATTCCATATTTCAGCCTAATTGAGGGAAAAATAATTAATTTTATGGAGGGTTCATTGTCACGTGTTGTTTACTGAAGCAAAATGGTGTATTTCTGCATTCCATATGTTTTTATATGGAATGCCAAAAGAGCAACATTCAATGAGTACAAGATATTCCCTTATACCAGTTAACACTACTGCTGTTTCATCTTTTTTTCAGTGTTTTTTAAATATCCTTATGCTATGAGAAATGACAAGAAACTGCTTTCAAAACCATGCAACCTATCTTCTTATAATGGCCATTGGTTTTTTTAAAATTGAAACTATAATCTTCTTTTAGTGGTCATATTGTTTTTTTTTTTCAATCGAAACTAACGTGACATTGACAGACTAGAGGTTAAGCAAGTGCACCCTCTAGTTATTTGTTGCCATTTGCAATGGCAACACAAGTACAATGACATAATGCATTGTGTATCACTGAAGTTGATGGATGACATTTTTTGAACAATGATTATTAAGATGAATGAATCTTCTAATACGGTACTGTAAAGTTATCCATTTTTCAGGAATGTGATGTAGACAGCTGAGGAAGGTGAATTTGTGCCCCATAGAGGGCACAAGAGCTGCTGAACAATGGGCATTAAAGGATCCCATACAGAAGAGCAGGCTTCCAGTCTCCAAGACAGAAAAGCAGACCTCCGGTCTCCTATGTTATCAGACATTGACTGCTGCAGGAATTTGCCATCTGAGGACAATGGACAGGATAAATCCCTCAGACAGCCCTATTTTAGGAACTGTAACTTAGATGTTTGGTTGGATTAGCAAATTAACTTTTTTGACAAGCTCCATCTAACTAGAGAAATTTTTCTCTGCTAGCACAGCATCCTGTTGTCAAGTCTGAGACAGCCCGTGTTCCATCATATACTCTCATTCATTCTTTATCAAGTGATGGACTATGTGCCATCAAAAGTACCCTATCAATAATTGAAAATGGTGCTCCTCAGATGACTGAGAAACTAATTGAATTATAGCCGACATATATTAACATGAAGCAAGTACCAGAGGTTTGATGGACATGGTGATACCCATAGCCAGCAGAGTTCAAAGAAGCAATAATGTAGATAAAAACATGCAAAAAGTAAATTTGCGAGAGATGGGCTAGTTTAGTTCCTAGAACTCTAGCTGGTCACATGAATACAGGAACTGCAGATTTTTATTAGGCTTCTCCAAAGGAAACTTGGGTATCTGATGGACTGTACTCTAATTAAGTAATTAATTATGGTTATGGACAGTTTACCAGGAAGCAAGTACTTTTGAATTTGTTGGTGTTTATTTTCTTGAGTCAATAATTTTTTTCAGAAGACTACTTATCTTTGAAATATCGGAGACAGATGGTAGGCAGCATTGTTTGTTTTGTAATGCTAAATCCTTTGACAGATTAGGGAGTGCATGGTATGAGCTGTGTATAAATCCAATGACCAAGGAAAATGCCATCATCATCTATTATAGGTGGATATTACGCTGACATAGTACTAATAATTATATTTAAATAATTTTCTGATACTTTTATGGACCTGTTTAATACTGTATTATGTCAATACACAACTAAATTGTTGCTACTAGAAATATTTTTAATAAAATTTTCAAATCCAAAACTGGTACTCAGGGAGTTTTTTTTACTTTGTGTAATAATAAACATAAGTCATTCATGACATCATCACTGCAACTCCCAATGATATTTTCCTATTCCAACCGTACATGGTTTGTTGATTTTTTTTTCGGTGTGTGGAAAAAGCCAGGTAAGGAATTTTTTTTTAGGCCTTAAATCTAACCTTCATATAATAATTTTCCGTTGGTGTACTATATGCAGCTATTCTAATTGCTTATCAGTGCTTGGATACATTTGTCTGTAGCCAGGTACTCACTTTGTGCACTGACCCAACAGATATTTTTTTTTAATGAAGATCCATTTAGACTGCCACTGATAGTCAGTAGACAGCGTTGCATCGTCTTTCGCTCGCCGGAAGGTGCATTCATCGGCTTAACATAAAGCATTCCAAAATTTGCTTTCATTTTTTTTCTATAATCTTTGCATACAGTCAGTCAGATTGGCTGGTGGTGTAATGTATTCTAGTACCCATGATAAATAAAATCACAAAAACAAAAACAAACACAAGTACATCATCATTCTTTTACATTCATGTATATTATTCATGTTAAACTAATTTCATAATAACATTATGAAATTTACATAAAGGTAAGTCTCTTTCAATGCTAAACAACAGCCGTGGAATTCTACTTTGTCATGTAATGTGGCTATTCATTTCTTTTCTTGCTTGATTGACTCACACATGACTGGAGCTAAAGTCACCTTTTCCTTCCTCCGCCTTTCTTTTTCCTTTGCTCTGATCTTTGTTTGGCTCTGACTTCCTTTTTCATCCTTGGGTCGACCATCTTGTATGGCCCTTTGATTCCTTTGGGACGGACTGCCTTCTTCCCTGCTAGACTTTTACGTGCCCTTACATATTTCACTTCAGTTTTCTTCTTCTTTCCCATACCAGCTTTCTTGTACAAACTGTTACAAAAACAAATAGAAGAAAGCTTAGAATATCATTTTCTAGTTAAAAATAAAAATAAAGCATTAGTAGTAACATCAAAACTACCTGCACATGAATTATGCTATATCAGTGACTAACATTAAACCAAGAATTGCCAATTTGTTTTTTAAATTGGCTTATAACAGCTGCAAACACCTTAACCACATAGCTCCATATTCTATACAATTTAATATTATAACTTTATTCTCGAACCCAACGACTAAAAAAGATTTAAGGATAACATTAGGCACGTTCAGACAAGTCAGTAGTAAGCTTTGAAGTAGCAGTTTACATGTTGTGCACTCAGAGTAGTGCTTTGTAGACACACTTGCATGTGAATTTTATTTTAACCTCAATTTTTTTGGAAGACCTACAAATGAGTGCCAAAATAACATTTCCTGTGACTTGATGTTTTCATAATTGTTCACATTTTCAAAAAAGTGGTGATTATCACTTGGGAAAATTAGCATAGTTACTTCTAAGCTTTGAACTAGCTTTGAAGTAGAAAGGACATTATGCATCATGTGGGCACTCATCTAAAGTAACATGCGCATGAAATTTTACATTTGTCATAACTTTACTTCTGAACTAATAGGACTAATATAACCACATCACCCACACATTCTATCATTAACAATGTAGACTTTATACCTCTTTATTTGGTTCATTTTTTCCTTAGCAGAGGTATCAACAGTATCAGTTATTGCTTCAGCTTTCTTCTTTAGTTTTTCCATTTTCATCATTGCCTTCTTTTTCTTTCTTGCTTTTGCCTCTGCAACCTTTTTGATGGGACGTGCATTAATTTCTTTTAGCCTGGCCTTGTACTCCTCCACCAATTCCTATAAAAATGGAATCATGCAAGAATTTCTAACCATGCTAATGGTTTGGGATTTGTATGTGCTGGAAATCAATGGTAAATGATATCTTGGCTATTGAACAATACTGTACTTTGTTTATGTTAATGCAACATCAATGATCCAACCACTGCTCAAATGTACACCCACATGGATAACACTGTTCGGCAAAGTTATGCTAGGGCTCTAAAATTTAAAATCCAGTCAGGTGTGTATTACTGTTTGTTGCTGGAATTAGGGGAGTGAGTGCTGGGTGTCTGTGGGTGGTTTTGTGTGGTACTTGCTTTAAATCTAACCTTCATGGCTGTTCACACTTTTGCGGTAGTGTGTATGTATATGTATGGGTGTTTATGCTACCAGCTTTAAATCTAACCTTGGTAACTGGTAGGTGTTTCTTGTAATGCTTTGCCTCATCTTCTACAAACCATTCAGGAAGGCCTTCATCATTGAATGTATACCTGTAAACACAAACAATAAAGTCTAATTTCACTTGGGTTGCAATTCACCGGTTTTCACTTGACAGTTTGCTAAAATAAAAGCGAGCATTCTGGTTTTACATTAGATATTTTGCTGGCAAAAATGCCTGTTTATTTACTCCACACTGCCTTGATGATTAATGATGACGCACTCCAACCCTATCCTTAACAATAAACAAATATTACTTATAGCCCATAAAAAATATACACTTTCTAAAAGAAAATGTATATAAAATATATGTGTTATTGTAGTCTGTCTGAAATTTATATTCAATATCTTTATTAATTACCTCCAGTTACACAATAGAAATAGAAGTTAATGCTTAGGGCATTTTGAATTAAAGCACAAAAACCAACTGATATTTCTTATACTGCTCAATTCTTTTCTTTTTACGCCACTATGCAAGTTGAATTTACCTGTGGAATCCACCTTCGATAATCTCCCTTTTCTTCTTCTTTGACGTTGCCATCAGTGTTCCAAGTGCCAAGCTTTGGGGATCTAGTTGTCGTGGAACTATGGGTAAAAAAAGTGAGAATAAGTTCAAATGCAAACATCATTATTTTTATTAATCACAAAAAAGGAGGGTTTTCACCTCTCTCTTGATCACCAACTGGTTTTTTCCCATCAGTGCACTAAGTGCCATACTTTTGAGCATCTAGTTGTCATGCAACTATTGGCGTAAACAATCAACTGTGTGTGACTTTGTATAATGGCAAATATTTTGGATTACTTTTACCTGGACCTTCAGCCGGAACCACTTCAAATGATTTTCGCTTCTTTGCTTTTTTGGTTGATTTTTCCTCTTTGCTGTTGACAAGCACTTCATCGTCATAATCACTATCACTGTCACCACTTATCTCTCCAGAAATCACAGGACCATTTTTCTTTTGAATCTTGTCATCTTCGCCATCACTATCATCCTCCTGTTCTTCCTCCGATGAGTAACTCTCTTCATCTTTAGTTATTTTGTGTTTCTTCGATTGTCTCTTTTTCCTTTCTGTAGTCATAATTCAGAGTAAATTATTAAAAGCTGAGTATAAACCAGAGATAATACTTAACTAATCCTAACAGCTTTTGTATTTATAGCACTTATCTGTGATCACTATTCTAAGTTTATTGTATACTGTAAATACACTGTGCCATAAATCATCATTTAAAGCATCCGAGAATGCTATAAATATACAATGGGTAGTTAAAACCTGAACATTTTCCAATCTTATAATGGTCTACTTAATTAAATTGCATGTTGTATATCTTGGGGATTTGCGTCATGTGTACTAAAGGAAAGTTTCATTTATAGTAGTTAATTAAAAATCAATATATGGAAGTTACTTTACCTAATATGGAACCACCTTCCTTTTTGTAGTGTTCCGTCATTTGCGAAATCTCATAATCTTCATCTTCATCATTTTCTAAACCGGAAAATATTTCCTAAAATGTAACCGAAAGAAATGATTTGTATTACATACTGGTTTATTATATTCCTATAATTTAATTTGTGTGTATGTATGAAGCGACTAATACAATGGGCAGATCATCTCAAGATGACTTTAATAGAAGGTAAGTGGATTTTACCATGACAACAGAATTTCTGATTGCGATAAAATGAAAATACGGCAGGCTGATCAAAGGCAAACACTATACCCTCTCTACTACTTTACCCTCTGTGTTATATAATACCCTCCCTGCTAAAATACCCTTCCTACAGGAATACCCTAGTACAGGAACTATACACCTTAATTAAGTTTAAATGGATTGATTGATTTTGATTACCTTATCAAACCACAAATTAGTTTGCCTCTCTAACCTTGATGATTTATCTTCTTGCTCTAGATCTACCATTAATGGATTTGCTGCCTCACCATCCTCCATTTCACTAAAATAATGACGACAAAACATTTAACATGTAACCAATTGTCAAATGTTCTGTTAGGAATTTTTTTACATTCAAACTATTGGTGTATTGCCTTTAATTCACAATATGATTATATTCATGTTGTCGTTTGGACCAGCGAAGGCCAGAGGAGAAATATGCATACAGAAATTGATTGACTGACTCATGATGACACTTACTAATCTGATTGGTCTTCTTCAACTACTACCTCCTCGATCGACTTCTCTTGTCTAAGAAGATCTGCTTCATCCGAATCCAGACCACTGTCTATATCCTCTTCATCCTCGCTAAGTTCAATGACCTCTGCAAGATCTTCATCCTCATCTACTTCAACTGTATCCAAGTCTCCTCTGTCAATCTCCTCCAGTTGCTGATATTTGAAAACAAAGTAGTTGTCAGTTATTCAGATCTCAGCCAATCACAGAATCGGTGCATAGAATTGGATTGGATTGGATTTCTTCAGTGTGATACACACCAAGGATAACCCAATGAAATCCTGAGACTTATTTCCAGTGGGGTCCTTCTGGTGATGAACTGGGCAGTACACCGGGAGACAATCCCCTACTCTTTCCCAAAGAGTGTATTGCGTTCCTTAACATGCACGCGGGACCAGCTGCTTAAACGTCTGATCTGAACGACGGTGCGCTTTTGAAACTTGCATTTCAGCCCTCCAGCTAAAACACAAGAAGAGCAGCGATGGGAATTGAACCGGGGACCTCAAGATCTCAACGGTTCAGCGCACACACAGTGGCTACCACCAGATTAGCTCACTGAGCTAGCTGCTCTCATTAAGGATAAGGCTTAGGATTTCAACAAGCTAGGAAACATAAATACGGGCTCACACTAAATCATTACTAACACAATTATGGGTATGATGATGAAAGTGTGAATAGCCACATTGACCTAAGTAGAGAATACAAACAAGCTGACAGCACATTAAAGACTAACAAATATAATTGGGTCACACACTTTCCTTCACACAGTGAACTTTGAAATTTCCGGTGACTACAAATGTGAAATCCATGGAGGGTGAATGCCTCAAGCATGGACATTTCAGGATAGCCTAGGAAACATTTAACAATAGGGCATAAAAATATGAACAGTAGTATACAAGCATAATTACAGTAAACTATAGAGTTTAACTAAGTTACATTACTTTCAAAATAATTCTTGTATTTGGCCAAAATGTAATAAATGAATCAAACCTTTTTACTATGAATTTTCTTGAGAGAAAACAAGGAAACATCATCTGCCTCTAGATGATCTCCAACATTTCCGAGCTTCTGAAGTTTTTCCCGCAACTTCCGCCTTTTCTTAATAGTGTCCTTTCTCTTTCTGCAAAAAGAAAAGTAATAATAATATTCAAGAAAATTAAACTTTACAGTATATCACTTCATAAACCAACAGAGTTTTCTTTTAAGTTCTGTTTGATTTTTCATGATAAATATTCTTAAGCTAGAAGTATTAAGTTTTGGCGTTTGATTTAATAAATGACCGATTTCAGATATAATGGTCAAAAATTGCCATAGAATCATATAAAACACATACCGAAGGATTGAAATTTCTTACCTTTTGGCTTCAGCTTTCTCTGCAGCTTTCAGTTTTACAAGTTCTTCATTTATCTGTGCCTCCTCATCACTAGATCCATCATCTTTGTCCTCCTGCTCTGAATCGCCATCTTCCTTTTTACTCCTACAATCATAAAGAATGAACATTATTACAAATGTATATCTTAGTAGTATTTAACGCAAGAATGTCTAAGAAATAAAAATCCATTCAGTTGTATATATATTATACTACTCCTAACATTGTGTAGTTAAGTCCGCTTCCCACCATATTGTTCTACTATGCATGCTTAATTAAGAATTGTTTAATCTATAACACCACTATCTCTATACTTGACCACTTTGTTCTCTGTCGGATTTCTCTTTATATATTACCGCATAAACTATTAGATAATTGGCCTATAATCCGTCTACACCTCTATTGTATNNNNGTAACAGCCAACTTGTACATTCAGTAAAGCTGATGAAGGCCAGAGGACTGGCCGAAAATTTCTTTCGAAAATAAATGAAGTGTTCTACAGTCTACATGCCTTGTTGTCATAATTTTTTGTTTCAACGAATTATATATAATTTGAAGAACACACGTGCATTTACAATATATATACATATATAATGAATAAATGTACTTGGCAATACTAGCAACGTACAGTGCTCGATACACATTATAATGCAGAGCGTAAATATTGAAAATGTAGAACTTGTAGAACTGCTCCCTAAAAATTACGGTCAAGTTGTTAAAAAGCATCTAAAATCACCTTATTTTGCGAGTTAGCACCCCTCAAATGATCATCTAGCCCGCCCCCCACCACTTCACCTTTGCACCCCCATCAGCATCCCCGCTACAAGACTCATAGATACACCACTGAGTGGGCTACCAAAAGGTCAACCGACTGAGCTAAGCTGCTCTCAAACATGATAAGAATGGAGTAGTCACCTTTCTTGAGTGTCCTCACACTTGGCCAGTAGCTTTCGCAGTTTGCTACGCCACTGCAATAATTCACGCACCTCCCGTCTACCCAAGACACATATATCACGACAGCACTGCATTATCTCCTCTGTTGTGAGTCTGTGCTTTAGAAGCTGGTCACTGTCAAATACAAGCTGCACATGCAAACAGTTAATGAGAAATAATTTCAATATTATTAAAACCATTAAAAGACAATCAAACAATTTCGTAAGATGATTTCTATTTCTTAACACCACTTGTAAAACAATTAAAACAAATTATGTATAAATTATACACAATTCCTTCTTACAAACTTATTGAAAACACAACTTGTGAAAGAATGAGGGCACAGACATAAACATGGTGCTCTGGGATGGATAGTTCAAATACATTAACATATTCTGTTTAAGAACAATGGCAATTAATATGTTTATCCAGGTATGTAATTACGAAAATACTACACTACTATTTTAAAATACTGGTGATTGTGGCATTAACTAAAAAGGCAAATCAAGTGGTTGAGCTGTAAGGCAGGGGTGCTGCTCCTCACCCAGGATTTAGTTGGCAGAGTCTTCTTGGATAAAATGGTGGTCCAGTGTACACATCTGGCTCATGTGCACTTGAAAGAATTTATTGCATCTTTTGGAAAAGTAGGGAGTTTCCACGATGCTATGGTTCATTTCAGCCCCATAATTGTTGAATGATCTGAACATGTAGCTATCTATTAGGCCTCCTTATGGCAGCTAGGTAGACACGGACCACATCCATATGCAATTCAGCACAATGACGCTGAATGTTATGGGTTATTCTACCTTTACCTTTAAAAACCAATGCTAATGTGTACAAAATTCAGATGAAACTGAAGCATACCTCATTGCAATCATTCAGCATCTCAATTGGTTCGTTGGTGCTGAGAAAGTCAGATATCATAACAGCTTTATGTTGAGTGTAATCGCCATCAGCATAGCCTACAGCCTTGGCTTTCTTCAGCTTAGCCGGATCCATCAGAATCGTCAGCTTCTTCTTAGGGTCTGGATTCACATCTTTGAATATATACTTGGGATCAAAGAACTTCTGATCTGCAAGATGGAAGATGACAGAAACACTTGCGAGGAAGAAATTAAGATATGATTTCATGGTACCGACAGGCATGATAAAAAGTATGTATATCTAATTTTTTAGTGCAGAGACAATGTTCTTTATACTACCATTATCAGCAAAGAATGTGGGTTCACAAAAAAAGGTGTAAAAAGGTTATAACCTGTCAACATATGTACACGATAGCTAACTTTAATTCCAGCATGTGTACCTTTTTTCTTAGGTTACAAACTGTGTATCTTTTACCTGGAGATACAAGCTCTTAATTCTGACATGTTAGTTATAAGACACCTTGAAATTTTACTCCAATGTGTACTTACCTAGAACATTAACTCAACTACATTACAATAATTCAAAATTTGTTTATATGGCATTATGTACCTTGTACGTATTGAATTAATGCACCCTCCTTACCTATTTTATCTGGTGCTGTGAAGCCTTGGCACACAACAAATATCTCAGCTGATTCATTTCTGGAGGCTTGTGGTTTGGTGGCGTGAACCTTCCTGAACAATTGGTACAGTACCCACAGCAATGCCTGGTAGTCCTTGGATCTAAACACCTTGGTAACAAACCATCCGCCCTTGTTTAGAAACTCTACAGACAACTTGAGGGAGGATAGCGTCAACTGGGCTGAGAAAAAAAAGAAAAAACAAGTCGCTCAGTAAATGTCTACCCAAATTAAATGCATGAAGTTCCTACGTTTAAACCAAAATTATCACTCATTTAGGCTTCACAATTAACCAAGCAGGGCAGTAATAGTAGTTATTTATTACTGCAAAAGATACAGAAATATGTTTTTGGCATGGAATAGGTGCAAAAACATTGACAAGAATGTACAAAGACAGTTTGGAATCTTACGCAACAGTACTTACCTTGTGAGAAAGCATCATGTAGCCAGTTCTTGCCAACATTTGGGGCACCATCGTGAATTATGCAATCTGCCTTCCAGGTTTTTAATTCTTTTTTCAATAGCTATATAAAAAGAGAAATGAGACTGTTGCTTAATTCTTATAATTATTTTTAAAATAAATTAAAATGTTGCCTATAAAGTGAAGCCGATCATTTGGGACCTTCAATGCTTTATAACTGAAATAGGCCTCCCAGCGTGAGTGTGTGTCCTCTGCTTTTTTACATGTTTTTGTTCTTTGCAACTGTAGTGACGTTTAAGTGAACTTTTTAGGACAAGTCTTATCTAGCTCTCTCTGTTGTTTGTAATTAAATTGATAACTTTACTGTAGCCTGGTTCTCACTAGAGCCTTAGTATCCGGATACCGCTAACCGTTAGCACTAACCGTTAGCACCTGGGTGAGAACGCCCGATTGGTTAGCGCTAACCGTTAGCAGTATCTGGATACCGCTAACGGTTAGCAAGCGCTACCGGTTAGCAAGTTGAGCGCGTTTTGATCATCAGCCAATCACACGTACGTGTTTACAATTTCAAGTTTCTTATTGGCCAGTGATTCGATCATCAAATTTTTGGTATCCGGATTGGGATTTTCTCGTATGGACGCACGGCAGCTAACGGTTAGCATGATCCGGATCCTGCTAACCGTTAGCAGCCATGTGAGAACATAGCCTGTAAGACGGGTCTTATCTAGCATGGCATCATATTTCATGGACTTGCTTTTCATTTTTATCTTTAGCTTATGACTCATCCCATCATTCTTCCATACCGGATTTACACAAATGACCTCTACCGGATTTACTCTTCTAGACTTAACTGCCAGACTATGATAAATTGTCTACACCCGAGGCGGCAGTAGACACGAAAAAATGGGCACTCACTGCAGCCATCATACGACACAGCGTCTGCCTAGCTTACATACTCTTCAAGAAGTTTATAAAATGGACTTATTCAGAAAAATCATGAAATACTTGTCAGGATCACACCAACAAATACTGGGATTGGAAGGTGCACATCTTACAGGTAACCACCAATATCAACAATATAAAACTAATTTCTCCTGTTTTGACTATGTATAATTTTAAATATTTTGATAGTTTCTAATTGTAATTTATGTACGTTTTGTTTAATAACATATTTCAATATATGTCATCATGCACTTCATTTTTTTTCGCATTACCCCATAGCTACCATGTTCAGTAATATGTTTCTTGTTTCTCTGGTAATAGGATCAATCATGTTTTTTGGAAGTTGTTTGGTGCAGCGGGGACAGTTTAGTTTCCCAACCTCAAGGTCGGGGTTTCAATCCCTCGCTGTGCATTTCATTTGTGTCCTTTGGCAAGGTACTTTATCTGCATTGCTTCTCTCCACCCAGGAGTATAAGTGGGTACCTTGTACGGTTAAATACCGAAATGCGCTTATGTAGGTACTAGTATGTGCTGCAACATTATGCAAACATGAGGTTGTGTTCCATAGGCATTTAATCCAACGACCAGGGTAATGATATGAAGCGCATAGATGGCTTAACAATATGCTCTACGTAAGTCTACCATTATTATTATTATTATTAAATTGCAATATAAGTTTGAATTTGAATATTATAACTATATGAGACTTGCCATCCCAAAACCAGCATACTCTCACTAACTATTTGTTAAACTGAGTAATCAGCATAAGAACGTGGCAGTATTGTATACTTTAGTACAGAGCCGTAGACAGAGAGTTTGGCCAACTTGGCACATGGCGCCATGTTGTTACCAAACAGAGTGTACGCGTATTAGCTTTATAACACTTTATAACACTGATGCTGCATAAACTTTATTTTATTATTCTGTTCATGAAGACAATTCAATTATGGGATTTTAATATATCCTATCGTGTTAGTTTGTGGCTCGCCAATGTTTTGTTTTGGTGACAACATGGCCGGTGTAAGTCATGTGATTGCGATCCACCCAATCACACGCATGTATAGCAGAATCCCGAGAAAGCTATTTGGCCAAACTCTCTCTATTTACGGCTCTGCTTTAGTACAAAGAAGTCATAATACTTTTACTCATTTGGCAATAGTAAGTCAATTTCAGTAAATGACCCATCATTTTAAAGCTTACAATGTGGAGAATATGAATATATTAATAAGTCAATTTTCAGTTTTGGTCACTGATGTTGGTTTTTGGCATGGCAAGCCTCATGTTACTTGATACCTGTCTACATTTTTCAGTGGTGATGTCAGCAGTGAATGTCACAACATTTGGGATTGCTTTGATAGGAAACAGATCAACACCAATAATCTGACTTGATATTGGCATGTGCTTGGCTGCTACTTGAAGCCTGTCAATCCAAAAAAAAAAAGAACAATTAACATATCATGTGTATTGGTATGGTACAGAACATTTAGTTTGTGTAGTGTTTAATGTTAACTATAAAAAATTAAATAACGTTTTCTAATTGAATTATTATATTAATGATATATTTATTATAAATGTTATTTATTTTTGTTAAATGTTATGCACTTGTCAATTGTAGTTCCCCCTTACCCAGCTATACAGGGCAAAACATTCTAATGTAAATCCCCATCTCTGCCAACGCCGATGGGGTAGTCTTGGTTGAAGCTCTCGTTATGCCTGACCATGGCCTCGTGTTTTCAGATACAAGCTCTTTTCTTCTAGCCTACCTTTACACTTACATCACAGCCAGACCTAGATTGACTATGTAAGACGAGACTACTGTATCTTTTAAGCCTTGTTTAGCGAACCCTCCGACCACTTATGGTTTAAATTTTGAATAAAATTAAATATACGAGCAACCTCGGCTACATATTCCTGGCCCTTTGCAGACCATATCACATGCCCAGACCAGTAACAGATACTACAGTAATACTTCCCGGGTCTACCGTGACGCGAAATATCTGTACATCCCAGGAATACTGTCCAGGGTCCCGACGACCGTGTGCATAAAAATCATCAGAACAACACCCACAGCTTTATTTTCATTGTATCATGTCATGTATCGTCACAATGTGGTCTTCCACATTTAATCCAGTGCAATTTGCCTATATTTTAACAGTATGTTACCATGCAGTCTCCATACAGTGATTTGTGGTCAATCACGGTGGTATGCCATTTTGTTTGAATGCTTACCATCCTCCCGGTGCTGCACACAGATCAACAAGAACACGCGATTTCTGAAGAAATTGAAACTTCCTATTTAGTTGAATCAACTTGAAAGCAGAACGGGAACGATAACCTGAAAGAGAATATTGTTGTTTAAAAAACAGTTTGTAACAAATGCTTATTTCCCTATGGATGCCTTTGCCAGACTGTACTGTAAGACCTGCGCGGGGATTATATCCTATACGCAAAAATTTGGCATAGAAATCCATCTGGGCATTAAGAGGCTATTTCAGCACATATTTTGCCGAAAATTAGGCTTGGGCGTAATCTTAATGTATAAACAATGTATTATGCAGTAATTACATTTCTGCGCACTTACAGTATTTTCCTAGCGATTTTCTGCGCAAGCTTGAGCTGGTTTTTGAGGTACTGTATCATCTGCACAACTGAAAAACTTTAAAGTATGGCCACATGGCAGGTCTTTCAATATCTGAAAGCTTAATATTGGGTTGCTGTCTGAGAGTCAAACATTCGCAACCAGGCTTAACTCAGGTGGGGAATTCAAAGCATAATCAGTTAATCTGCTAATTAAAATGATAGGCCTATTGGAATATTGTATGTTCAGTATGTTGTTTCAGTTGTAAATTACTCTAATAATTTGCACCGCGGTACATGTACTTGACAAGCACATGGGGAATCCAATGAAGGTCCCGGGAAATGGTGGCAAAAATACTGTAGAGAGCACCCTTTCCTTATTGGATTTGTCTATAAATAGCCCTGCACAGGCCCAAAATCCCCCAACCAAGACCACTTTTTTGTTTTCTTTTTTAAAGGATTACTTAAAGTACGAAAAGGCCTAAGCCTTCTGCTGTATGTAGGCTAGGCCCTACACCCCTATGCCTATAGTAGGGCTACTACTACCCTATCATATAATAGCTAGGGGCCTAGGCCTAATAGTAGTAAGCCTCCTAGCCTTCTACGTCCTAGACCCAAGCCCCTAGCAGCCTAACAAAGCCTAGGGCTAGAGTAGTAAGTAGTATATAGACTAGTAGATAGTAGCCTATTAGGGCCTAGCCGGCGCTATTGCACTTTAGTACTTCACCATATTGAACCCTAACCTTAACATTAAGATACTAATTCTGGAGTTCAGGGTGCAGTACTACTACTACTATATTACTAAAAAGTTCATTACTAGGCCTAGGCTAACAACTAAAGTACCTTACCAGTTTCTTTTGCGAGATGGTAGTATCTATCTTTCCGTTGTTTTCCAACCTTTGATTTCTTTCCCATCTTTTCTATAAACTAGGCCTAGGCCTCAAAATCGATTACAATCCTAGGCCTAGGCTAGTCAAATGTCAATTAACTGAGGAAGTAAAGAACCTCAACACGGGTACTCTGATGCCTGAATCGGCCTATCAATCATCAACGAGTGGCCTGCTACAGTACCTACACACGTGTGTAGGCTAGGAACTTGTCTGTGTAGTCACTAGCCCCTAGCTGAGATAACTGCGATCTGCCTAGGCTTAAAATTTGGTAGCAGATATCATTTTGCCAGTCAAATTTAAACTTTTGAGAAACAATACAAGACACGACAAACCGAAGCGTGCGGACAGTCGCGCGTGTTGGATGAAGACACTGCTGACAACGTAAACAATTTGCAAAAAACTAGAGGGCGCCATATAGATATATTTTTTTATACAGTAACTGTTTACTACTGTATTTTCAATTTAGGAGGCATGGTCTAGTGCTCTAGCTCACGAACAGTTAATATTTAAAATTTAATTTGTTTATGATCATTTTGGTTATTTTATTTCAGATCAAACTCCAACACCGTTAAGTAATTCTAATGATCCAACCTGATATTCAACTGGAGCAAACTTTCATCCAACCTCTCAGCTTGGCCAAGGAGTAAACCTCGAATAACCGTCTCACCCCCTTCCACAAGTAACTGAAACAAAACTAATGGAAGCGACATCATTCCCAGCATATTCCATTAATATTCTACTCCACTTTGTCTAACATGGTTGGGATCAATAAGTCTTTGTGATGGTAATTATCTGTTGTACTTCCACAATAATATATATCTTTATTAAATCAATTTTAATTTGGATGAATTTTATCTAGTCTTTGGTTTCAAAACTTCTAGTATATATATTGAGGAAACATTTAGAGTATACTAAATCAATTTTATTTTTAATTTTTTTACAAATGTACAGGACTATAATTATAATCATTATATTTTTATATTTGTGTAACCAAAGATACTAGAAATACAAGATAGAGTTCTCCACACAAAAAAAGTGTTCCACCGTGTTCCACCGAAATGCATGGTGGGAATACGAAAAATGGGACGCCCCCTACAGCTGGATCTAAAAACACATCTAGATGTGTATAAGAGACAGCCACACCGACAGTCCGAGACGGCGCGCCGTCTGCTGATTGTCGGTGTGGTGAACAAACTGGAATAGACACCCAGACAGTGACATCGGTGAATACATAACCTCCTTGGTGGCGGTAGAAATCGTTGCTATTATCCAAATAATACACAAAACAATTAAAGCATAATCATTAATCAGTAAGGAATAAAACAACAATACAGCGCAGAATCGCATGGCCGGACGCACACTTAGTGAAAAAGTTTTCCTTCATTAGTGGAAAAGGAAGGGCGCCTTTTGCGTCTGGATACACTTAGCAACAGAAGGGCGCCCTGTACGTTGGGCACGAAGTATAGGAAACTTGCAAGGTTAAATAGAAGGGCGCCGCCTACAGTGGGCACGACTTCCGCCTCATTTTTACAATGCGAGAACATGTGTATAAGAGAGCATTAAGATAACTTCTATAAATATTTTAAAATGTTTGAACAACAATTTATACCATTCTTGGTTCAATTCGAGATGATATAGAGAAGGAAGAAATCGTTATCCTAAAAGGCATAAGTGGGAAGGAAAAGCTGGCAATGTCTTTAGCCAAAAAATACTATTAACAAAAATCTGAAACACTACTGGGTAATAGTAACAAAAAACATTTATTTTCGTCATATACAATGTTTAAACATTGATTAAAAACTATGTACATGTGTAATGTCCCTTAATACAAGGCATCCATCTCAGCTTCATGTATCAGTCTGTGTATTTTTAATTTAAGTTCGGCCCTTACTCTATCTGGCAGCTGCCTTATTGTCTCCCCCATAGACATGAAAAACGTGTGGATGTCATCTTCTGTGGTAAAAGGAGCCCTTTTCTGCTCTAAATATTCTAATATGGATTTGTCAAAGTCAAAACTGGCATCACTCTTTCTTTTCATCTTTAATGGAGTCGATGTTGATACTGATGCATTGGCATTGTCATCTCTTCATCTTTGTTGTTTTGTTTTTTTGTTGCATCCGCTGTGGTGGTTGTTGTTGCTACTCATGGGGTTGTTGCGATTGGTGGTAATCATCATCATTATAATCAAATCGAAAGCTTTCTTCTGTTATGTTGTCTACAATGCTGTCGAAAGTTTCCTCATCACTTATTTCAGTGTTGGCTAGTTCTACATCGAGGTTACTTGAAGTCCTATGATGGAAACAACGAATAAAGTGGATATACATTAATTCTCATATTTTGTCCATTCGCTGTAACATATCCAATTCTTGTTATATTTTCCTATTGAGACATGTGTGATGCAATTCTTGATGTTTACTTCTTGTTATTGTTAATGCCATCGTTAAGCATGCAATGATTTTGGCATATGTAATACATACTGTATTTTCTTTTTTTCTGGAAATAAATTAATAAATAATTTACCCTTTTTGATAATGTGTGTTACCTTGCAATAGGCCTATTAAACTGAACAGTGTACCTATATTTGTGGTTAGTTCAAATGTATTTTACTCTTTACATGCAAAGTACTTTGAATGTACCTATTGAAAATGTACATTTAAAATTTGGATTGATTGATTGGTTGATTGATAGATTGGTATATTGATGGATGGATTGATTGGTTTCAAATTAGCTTGAACTTACTCCTGTTGTAAGTACGACGTAAATTCCTGCAAATCTATATTGTTTGATTACTTTGGCAGCATTGCCACTCCTTGAGGAAGCCTTCTTTCTGCAGCTGTTGAAAGTATCCCATACGTTTGTCCATTTCTTTGGGTTAAGTCTCCTGCAATCATTAATTATCAATTCAGATTATTTCACAACTACTTCAAATTACAAACAACTCTTCAAGTGGCAAAAGTGTACAGAAGGCAAACCTGCCTAACATAACCATCTATTCATATTTCGATTAATAGAGTAATTAATGAATGAAAACTGAATTGAATGCATTGCTGTATTGACATTAAAATATTTAAAATGGTGGCCGGTCATAGTTCAGTTAAAGTTGCCGTTTGGAATGCCCAATCTGTTTGCAACAAAACTGCACAGTTCCACCAATATGTAGTTGATCATGATGTCGACATCATTGCAGTTACAGAGACATGGCTTCAAGTAAATGATAATTCTCTAATCGCAGCTTGCCAACCAAGTGGTTACCGGCTCTTTTCATTTCCTCGGATTAATAGCAGAGGTGGCGGTGTTGCTGTTATAACACGATTTGCAACGAACTGCCGTAGACTTGACCAGTTTCGATCATTTGAAGCTTGTGAGGCCATCGTCAAGTTACCTTTGAAGACAATCACACTTCTTGTCATCTATAGGCCACTCCTTAGTCCGAACATGCAGTTTTTAACTGAGTTTTCAATTCTTGTGGAGCAGTACTCATTGTCCTCCAATGTCATAATTACAGGTGACTTCAACATACATGCTGATGATCCACTGAATGTGTATACGCTCCAGCTTTCAGATGTCCTCAGTTCATTCAATCTCACACAGCTCATTAATGTTCCTACCCATAAACACCAGCATACTCTTGATTTGATTATTACTAATAATCCTGATCTTATCACTAGTACATCCATTGATGCATATCCGTTGTCGGATTACTACTTTCTTCACGCAAGTCTAGATGCCAACAAACCGTTTACCCGGAAAAAAAAGTCATCTCTTATAGAAAGTATGACAGGGTCGACCTTAACTACCTCCAAAGTCAAATTTCACAGAAGTTCTCGCACTTTACTGGCTCAATGCAAATCAACTCAGCTATTGATGAGTATAATTCCTCACTCACCTTACTCAGGGATGAACTCGCTCCACTGAAAACCGTATGTGTGTCAGATCGCATATCATCTGAATGGTTTAATACAGTATGCCGTGATGCCAAAAGGAATAAGCGAAGAGCAGAACGTAAATGGCGAAAGTCTAAAACACACGCAAGTCTTCTTGCTTACCAGAAAAGTGCATTGAGTATCATCGTGTACTGGTTGAAGAATGCACCGCCTCCATTCAGGGCCAAATAGATATCTGTGGTCACGATCAAAAACGCCTGTTTAAGATTGCTAGAAAGCTTCTTGGTAACTGCGATGCTGATCTTTTTCCAACTGCTGAGAGCCACCTTCAGCTGGCCAATGATTTCAATGCATTATTTATTCAGAAGGTTAAACGTCTGCGTAACAAAATCACACCAAGTGAGTCATCGCCCAGCGTTGGGCTTCCTACTTCTTCTCCTGCTCTACAGCTTTCGAAATTTGAGAGTTTTAACTTACTGAACAATGAAGATATTATTGATATTGTCAAGTCCATGGGAACTAAAACCTGTGCCTTAGACCCTTTTCCGACTAATATTTTAGTGTCTCTGCCCACTACTATGATTAGTCTCTTTCGGAAACTCATTAATTCCTCCCTGTCTTCTGGCTTATTTCCTGAGGCACTGAAGCTTGGCTTGGTACGTATCACCTATTTTGAAGAAACCTCAGATTGACCATACTGAATTTTCTAATTTCCGACCTATAACCTGCATTCCATTTATTTCCAAAATATTCGAGAAGGTTGTTGTCTCCAAACTAGTCAAGCATCTTGATGACAATGGTCTTAACGACCAATTCCAGTCAGCA